GAGAAACCATGTGGGCTTGTTAACTTAGGCACAGGCAAGAATGATAGGAATTCACCGCGCTTCCATTTAATGATCAGAGGACAGAAGCCTCAATTAAAACGATATCATTCTAGATTTTTCCCAGTCTCGATTCTGATACAATCCCTATAATCCTTGCTCACCTAGAAGGATTGGCATTTAAAGTGCTTAGGATCTACCCCTCCCCCAGGAATTTGGCGTGGGAAAATAAGGCGACCAGGAGAATTAAACGAACGGCGTCTTTTCTCATTAAAATACAGATGCCATTCAACCCCCCCCCTTTAAAAAACACACACAAAAGAAGCAAACAAAAGGCTATCATCTCTTAAAATCTCAAAACGCGTTTAGAAGTAGGTTAACATTTTCCCTCGCCCTACCCCTTCCTAGCGTTTCAAGAGTCTGGGAAATTATCGAAAAGTGCTCAGCTCCCAGAAAAATCATAATTTGCATTATCCAGTTGCATTTTGATCTCCCTCTTTTATTCAGATACAATGTAGTCAATGGCCCTTACGTAAGGGGGGAGCCTTTGCGATTTTGCTTTTTTAAATAAGAATGCATAATCCCATGACGATTATTGCTTCCTTTCTCGGGACCGGGAGGCTGGGGGAAGAGAGAAAAGATCTAACTCGGCTTAACCACACCTCTCCAGCCCAGCAACAGATAACTTCGAGTTTCTGACACCCCCCTCCCTATTTCCAAGGGGCTGCATTGCATATATACTTTGTAGAGAGCGAGGCGCGCGGGGGAGGGGGGGTGGAATGCTGATTACATCATGAGAAACTGCCTGCAAGATTCTTCTTCACGCAGAAGTTCCAACTTCCTGATGTCGCTATTATCCAATCCACGCAAAGACAGGGGAAGCAGATCGAATATCGAATTTCTCACAGGGAGAGGGGGGAAACCGGGAGGCCATGCACACACGCTCACGAAGCGGGGGAGGGGAGAGAGAGAGAGAAAAGAAGCGAAAAAAATTAAGATTTCACGCGTTAAATACTTGGTTGGAGACAGGGACCGAGAGAAACTGAAAGGCTGGAGGCTGGGAGGAAATGCGCGCGCCGCGGTGTGGTAGGCAACCTCAGGAATATACACCGCCTGTAGCCCGTTCAAGGTACACAAGGCAGCCGATGTGCTAGGTAGACAAGATCTAACCAAGCATTGCTGTTTCTTGAAAACGTGTCCGCTTCCTCCACGTGTTGAGAAAGAGGGAAAGCTACAAGGTTGCCCGATCCCTGTCTTGGGAGGGGGGGGGATCTAGATTAATAACGCTCCTTTTGCAATTGGGTGCCTCTTGGCTAATGAGCCCACCTAAACTCACCTAGAAGTACAGGCGTTTACTTTCCAGTAAGCATATAGGCTGAAGTTGGCAAAGTACCTTTTCGACGAAGCAAGCCAGCCTGCCGGAAGGTGGGGTGGCAGGGAGGATCTCCCCCCCAACCCCCCAAAATTCCGGCGAATTAGTATCCAAGTAAATTCTCCCGAACTCTCCGGTTTTAGCTCTCCGAGGTGGGATCCTTACCCTTTTTGTAGTTCTAAATCTGAAGTTGACCTCTCACCACCATCCCGTCTGGAGCTAATATTTATTGAGGGTCGGGTACAGTATTGAGAGAAAGGAAAAGCTCTTTTTCCCCCAGCAGTGGTCGTGACCACGAGGTAGGCAATGTTGCTGATGGGACGGAGAAGAGAAGCTAAACCCATAATTCACCTTCGGAATCTATGCGTGTTTTAAACCGGGGAAATGAACTGTGTGCGTGTGCTTTAGCCGCTCCAGGTGAAGCCGAACGTGAGCTCCCTAGGAGCTGCATACTTTTTTTTAATGGAAAGATTTTTAACAATGGCAAACATTGAGCAGAGGTGAGGGTGAGGGTGGGAGAGGAAAGCAGGGGGAGAACTCCTTCAAAGTTGCCCATCAGGTATCTAGCTCAAGGTGAGATCCCACCTACACATGTGGGAAGTGGTTTGTTTAATTTACTGTGTGGCATTCTTACAAACAAAAGAAGGTTGGTTCCCATTGCTAGGGATCGAGGCAAAAGTACATTCCTTCCAAGGAGTAAGAAATTCCCTGGATCAGCATGGGAAAACGAAATTTGCTGGTTGCTCTTTCTACTGAAATGGAAAAAATAGCCCAAGGGGCGCAACAATCGGGGGAGCGGGGGAAGATAGCACCCTATTTCGGAACACCCCGCCACGATAATTCTCTACATAAGAGAGTTAAGAGAGAATGCGAATTGGTAAATTTCTGCAATAGATGCAGAAAGATAGGTGGCTGCCTCATCCCGCATGGACTAAGAACCCAAATGTTTTACTTTGGATCCCGAATGAGCTTTAAAGCTGCACCCAGACAGACCTTGACACTGTTTTTACAAAAACCACGGCAAGTGTGACTTGGTTTAAAAAAAAATCTGTCTCGACCCATGTTTCTCTTTTGAGCTTTTAACAAAGAATAGGAAAAAAAGAGAAATTGAGCAACGGAATGAGAGTTTCAGCGAAGTTTTCCATCTTCGCTTTTACGCTTTTCGGTAATTCCGGCACTTTTGACCATATCCCTTTCGTCTTGTCAGCGAGAAATCAAACAAGTTCCTAGTTCAGATCTGCCTGATCCGCCTGGTAACAGATCTATTCCCCTATTGGTTTATGCTAATTCCAGTTTCCTCTTGTATTGGAGCCCAGTTGGGGAGGGGGGGGGAGTTCCCTCCAGGAATTAGAGCCAATTTTGTTTTAAGTGTGCGATCTCGCCCCTGCAATATTGCCACACGCAGCAGAAGGCGATCTTTCTGGGCAGGCGTCTCAGCTGGAGGGCGATGGCATGAGGGGGGCTCCGGAAAAGCTGTAGCTGATACCACTCTGTCTCAAAAAAAAAATCCAGGTCTCCTGCCACACCGATGCACATTTTTATGAATGAAGAAACAACATTGCTCTCACCGTGTTCCTTTTCCAAATAAAAAGAGCACTTGGAAAGGGAGCCGATTTTACAAAGCTAATATTGTTTGGGAGAGGGAAAGTGCACGTAGCTGGTTATTGACGACTATTATTTACTAAAAGTAAATTAAGAAATAAAACTTGGAGCTGCAAATGCTTGGATCGAGAATAGAGGTAGCTTCCTTTCCCAACGTGAATGCTTCAATGGGGAGGGACAGAGGTCAGGAATTATGCAAAGACATATCCTTTAGGTTTGTATGTCAAGGCGTCCAGCATTTGCGGGGCGTTTATTTAACATTTCTAAAGGCGAGGCTGCGCTTCCCTTAGAATGCTGGAACAAAAGTGCACCCCCCCCCCAAAATAGCGCATATAGACATAGATCTAAAGGCATACATGCGCACAACCAGTTTAAAGGAAGGTCAGGCTGAGTTCTGCGTTTTTGGAAGGGAGAAAGCTCTACCACAAAGTGGAACTTAACTTTACTGCTGAGTAACATAGGATCCGAATCCACCTTAGAACTTACCTCTTACAAAGTCCTAAAACAGTCTTGCCAGAGAACTGCCTTTGTGCCCTTTTATTTTGGATTAAACCACATTGAGATTTGGCATAGAAGTAAACACGAGGAGGGTAAGGCACCACATGGGCAAAGGTTATAATATACACAAAGAAAGGAGCAGCACGAACCCAGCCCTCGAAGTATGAATTACATTTGGAGGTCGAAGATTTGCGATTTCAAATGAATACCTGGGTATCCGGGGTCTTCAAAGCGGTTTTCCTGAACAAAAATATTAAGCATGGCGTGCTTTGGGACTTTAATTGCTTAGAATTGCCACTCCCAGGAGTTATTGCACACCTTTTATTCCCTGAAGGTAACAAGTGAGAGAAGATACAATTTTATTAATTGGCGTGCTTGAAACCTGGGGACATGAACATTTTTAAATGCAAGGAGCTGAAGAAGCTTGTTCCACCACCCGCTTGCGAACCCACTTGCCACGTGCTTTCTAAAAAATGTTTGCGGAATGCATCCGCCTGTATAATTCATGGTAGAAGTAAAACCAAACCGTCCTATTGAAATGAATGAATGAGAACTTCTTCCTGGGTTTTTGCATGGGACTTAAACCCAGGGGCAAAATGACTGCACTTCGTTTTCCTCTCTCGTGTCCAACCCGGTGCCCTGGAAGAAACTGTAGCCACCATCTTGCTTAAAATACGCTTGGACTTTCACTGGGTAGTACTTGGGGAGGGGGGAAAAGCTGAATGCCCCCTCCTACTCTCTCACCAAGCCAATGCCCTTCCTGGGTCCATAACGCTGCTTTTCTGGCCGCCGCGGACGAGGTGCCCTCCTGCAAGTGGTATTTTACAGTATTGACATTCTGTAGCTCGAGCCCAGCCTCGTGCAAACTCGTTCTCCCAACACATCGGAGGGTCGCCCTTAAGAACAGGGTGGTCTCCTTCAACATTAAAAGATAGCAAGCAGAGAGATAAGGGCAGACATTTTTAGGCATATATTTTGGATCACTAGGAAGTCCTTAATCCACGGGGTGGGGGGGGAAACTTTGACAACTACCGCCCTTTCATTCCGAACTCTCTTCTGAAAATGGCGGGGTTCTCATTAAATAAAAATGGGGGGAAATGAAAAATCAACACTCGGCTATCTAGACCCTGGCGCTCTGGCGAAAGCGGGGCGGCGGTGTGCCTTTTCTTGAAGAAAAAAGAAAAGCACCCGGAGCCCGTCTTCCAGCCCATATTCTGCCCCAACATGCCTGTGTGTGGCCTAGCCTCATTCATCATTCGCCTCGCGGAGCCCTCTCCATTTTTAAGAAATTCTGCCTGATCGGGGAGTGGGGGAGGAAAGACCATTTGGGCTTCCCCCACCACTTCGCTCCTTCCCCTTAAAAAGAGAGAGAGGAAGGGAGGGGGAGAAAAGAAAGCGAGCCCTTGTCCTCATTTGCATTTGCATTAAAATTTAGCCCTGCGTCTGTTCAGCTAAGCAAAGGGGAAGGACTTGAAGCCTATGGGATGGCTTTACGGCTCGGCCCCCTGCTTTTGGCTTCACTCCTTTCCCCCCTCTCTTTCGCATTCTCTCTTGGCGCTTTGATCTCTGCTTAACAACAGTAACGTCACACGGGGACTCATACAGGAGAGTTTTGTTGGAAGTTAGAAAGTTTTGCAGCCTCCAGAGGGCTGTAGCAGTAGCAGCAGCGGCAGCAACGGCAGCAGCAGCAGCCACAGCAGAGAGCAGCATCTGAGGGACTCAGGGGGAGCGCCAGAACATACTGACTCAGCCCTTGGAGTCCGCAGAAGAAGAGGAAGAGGAAGAAGAACGGCGGCGGCGGCGGCGTTGCGGCAGCGGCGGCGGCAGAAGACATGGAACATCAGCTGCTCTGCTGTGAAGTCGAGACCATCCGGAGAGCCTACCAAGATGCCAACCTCCTCAATGACAGGGTCTTGCAGACTATGCTGAAAGCGGAGGAGACTTGTTCGCCCTCCGTCTCCTACTTCAAGTGCGTGCAAAAGGAGATCTTACCATATATGAGGAAAATAGTGGCCACTTGGATGTTGGAGGTAAAACGCGCTTCGCAAAAGTTTTCGGGCTTTTTAGAAATAAAGCGATCCTTTGCTTCTTTAGGCGTCCTTCCTTCCTTCTCTTTTAACCCCGAGTCCCGTTTCCTGCACCCTAAAACATCTTGCCGAGAGGTCTCCGTCGCCCCCACCCAGCGCGCTCGGGCTTGTCCTTCTTGAGCTGCATGGATTCGGGCGAGAGATCGCGGAATGCCGATCGCGCGCCCTGTCAGCCCGATCCAGACCTTTGGGGACCCCTGGAACAGGAATCCGGGCAGAAGCAGGGGTGCCCGAGTAAGTTTTGGAAGTTTCCGAAGTCGCCCTCCCCCAACGCACACACCCCTCTTGTAGGTCTATGGATTCCCAAGGCGGTATAGTTAGAGCCTGCGAACCCAGAATGTCGCCCCCGGTTTCTCCGGTGGCCCTTCAAGCTGGCCATGCATTTGATGGGGATTTTATTTTAAATTAATATCCGTGGACACGTATGCAAGTGCTCCTGGTGCCAGTATTATGCGCCATCTTTGTTCTTTTATTGCAAAGGCCAAGTGTTTATTAATAATTAGAAAGGGGAAAAGCTCGTCGTAGAAAAGTGGGGTCCCCGCGGGACCACCGGGCTGAGGGATCAAGATCTTGGCTTGCAAATCTCGGGGAGTTGCTGGTTGAAACTTTCCTTTGTTCAGAGCACAGGGTGGTTTTAGTCTCTTCCTTTCCCTCCCCCCCCCCTTTGGAAGACATGCTTTTGCTACAGAAACTTGTCGGCAAGGTCGCCCGGCAAAAAGTAGTGTGGGTTTCGTGTTTCCCCTTGAGACATCTTTCAAAGGGGTCCTACCAGAATCAGGACGGACTGGGCTATATTTTCAGCCCTTTCCCGAAGCTCTGGGTGCTTGCGATCTATTTTTAATTAATTTTTGAAACCCTGGCTGCAAGCAAATGTCGCACGTTGCTTCTCTAGGAAGGGAGGGAAGAGGAATGGGGGGTCTTGGAGTTTGACTTCGGGGAGGCCTTTTTGGAAGCCCCCCCTTTTCTATCACAACGGGGATCAGTAAAGGATCCCCCCGTGGTTGTTTTCAGCCAATTTGCGGGTCTCTGCTGATTTTTTAAATATTTTTAAATATTTTTTGAAAAGATGACGTCTGGGGAAAAAGCTTGCAGCTGCCTCTCGACGCCACCTTTGTGTCTCGAGGAAAGGGGGGGGAATCAGCCACACTCAAGCCAAATGGAACCAATAGGGGGCACCAAGGCATATGCCCCCCAACATTTTGAAGCCCAGATTGTTTTCTTGAGGTTCCCTGTTAAATCTTGGGGTTTCACACACCTATTTTGGTCTTTTCGTCCAAATGCCCGACCGCATTTTAGAAAAGCACATTTTCTTCTCTTGCGACTTTCTCTTTCACTTCTTCTACACATTACAGATTTCATCGTTTTTTTAAAAAAAAATAACTAAATAAAGGATGCTGAATTATTTGTGGATTATTTTCTTTTCTTTTGCTTTCTGCTCCCCAAAATATATTTGTTATCAGAAAGAGAAGAGACCAGCTTAATTCAGGGAGTAAAAGCTTTCTAGCATGTCTCTCTTTTTTCCCCCATTTTCCCCCTTCCTTACAGGTTTGTGAGGAACAGAAATGTGAAGAAGAAGTTTTCCCATTGGCAATGAATTATTTGGACCGATACCTCTCTTTTGAACCCATCAAGAAAAGCCGCTTGCAACTACTCGGAGCTACTTGTATGTTCGTGGCTTCAAAAATGAAGGAAACTATTCCTCTAACAGCAGAAAAACTGTGTATTTACACTGATAACTCCATTAGACCTAATGAATTACTGGTAATTTCCTGTTTTCTATTGCATTAGGGAAGTAACAAATTATAGGAAGGAACTAATTTCTTTAAAAAAACTAATTCCATTCTCCCAGATAATACTTTTTGTTTAAGATGATGTGGTTTTCCCATAAAATTATTTTAGATTTTAAATATGCAAGCTATTAGACTTCCCGATAAAATAGAATATATAACAGTCCTTTCCCTATTTTTTAATGGAAGCAGAATTGCAATGTTTTAACCATACTATAGAAAGACATGTCCCATTGAATTCAACCACGTTTATTCTCAAGTAAATGTGCATCAAAATCAGAATCAACCACTGAACCAGGCATTTTTTGGGGGGAAGTGGAAGCCAGTAGATGCATTTAGTCTTGGGATATTTGTCAACCCCTGGGCAGCTGCAGCCCACATGGTGCAGTAGATTAATTGAATGAAAATGTCCTAATATGTTAAATCCTTATTCACTCTAGGAAAAATACAGTAACAGATAGGGGGATAAAATGAGTGGCTAGCGCCCTCTTGTGTTAATTTGAACAATTTGCCTAGTTAATGCACATTAGTTCAAAACAGCTGGGTGATGATAGTGCCTGGAAATGGTGGGGGAAGGGAACAGAATTATGTAATTTTCATCTGGAAAGGCACCCACCTTGCCTATTTATGTTCTTCTCCAGTAGCACAATGGTTGCTGCTAAATTTGGCAAGGATTCAATTTCTGTTAGACAAAGCAGAAGGCCTAAACAAGTGATGTAGAACAGGGTGAGAAGACCACAAAACAACTTATGTGCCTAACTATTTATAAACAGAGAACTTCATAACCACATATTTTTTTCTTGTCCCTTCTTCTCTTCTGTTCATCCCAACCCAGCAAATGGAACTGCTTCTGGTGAATAAGCTGAAATGGAATCTGGCTGCCACAACTCCTCATGATTTTATTGAACATTTTCTAAATAAAATGCCTGTGGCTGAGGACAGCAAGCAGATCATCCGTAAACACGCCCAGACTTTTGTGGCTCTCTGTGCAACAGGTATGAGCCTTGCACTCTCCGAAGGCGTGTTATGTTTCTATGTGCCCCAGCAAATGCACCCGCTTCCCTTTTCCACTGTCCAGAATTCTTACAGGGGCACACTATTAAAATGGGTGGCAGTAGCTCAGCAAAGCTAATGCTTGCAAAGAACATGAGCTTGCTCCCAGAACCTGGATTACTTTGCTAAAGGTGAGTTGGCCTCTGCAAGTGGCATTTCTGGATGGCTTCAAGGCTGAAATTGGTGCTTTTGAGATCTGTAGTGTCAGAGTAGGACATTGCCAGCCCAGCTAGCAGGAATGGGTAAATGGCTGCAAGGCCATTAGGCTCTTAGGACTTGAAAGCTGTTTAATATGAATTCAGAGTTACAAACATATGTCAGGTTTTCCCTGGAACCTCTGATTTCATTCTTGTTTTTTGCCAGACTGTGTCTTTTCCAACAATTCTTTATAACTCTGTTTCTCCTTTCCAGGAGAAACAAGAAGAGGGTACTGTAAAAGGGTCCTGGCTAAGGGTTGAGTCTGTGACCACGTGCTTGGCTGCAGCCATGTGCACTTAAAGCCTCAGGAGGAGCTAGAGACACTGACTAAGCTCCAGGATTTCACAGAGAGGCCTGGTGTTGGGTTTCAAGGGCAATCTGTGTGTCTGCGCATGCTTGCATTCTCAAACTCCTCCAAACTTTGCCTGCTGTTGTTTCATTTCCTTGATTGCTGCTGCCACACCCATTCAAACAAGCAGGAGCATGGGATCAGAAATGCAGCCCTGCATTCCCGTTGTCCAGGTGGACTAGCTGTTGCTTTTTTAAAATAAATAATAAAAATAAAAGGAGGGATAGGCCAGAGAGGAGAAAATGCCAAAGCAGAGTAATTAGGAAGAGCAAGACAATATGGACACATGTTCTTTCAAAGGTTTGCAAGGTTGATTAGCAAGGGTATCGTACAACCTATGCCAAACTGAATTGGGATCTTCTAGATCCCAGGGGGCTGCAGTTACAACATACCTAGAGGATCCAGTTGAATGTTTTTAAGTCACGCATACCAGGATCGCTTAGATTGATTTGTATGTATATGACTCATCTAATCCCAGATGGGCCCAAGAAAACAAGGATTTATCTTAAGATTGAAAACCCTGAAAGGCATATAAATTCCAAGGGTCAAGTTGGTGCCAGAGGTAACACTCAGAAGTGTTTATGATGTCACACCTGAAATGGAATTGGTGGAAAGATCCAAGAAAAATAGCAAATCATCAAAAAAACATTTGCCGTTTTAAATGGTTTCTCCACTGCAGTCTGGTTTGGAAAGCTGGCCACAGAAAATATGTAAATATTAGGTATTTTTCAAGCTTACCTTTCTTCTAAGCCTAGCTACCAAAGAGAGACGGCAGTTTAGGATTTTCTGGAAAATAGGTTCTTTGCCAAGTTCCTCAAATCCTTAGAACATTTTAGAATAGTTCTAACAAATACAATCATTTTTTTTTTAAGTAAAAGGTTTTGTTTTTTTCCCAATCAGCCTCCTTTGCCACTACGGTGTTCGTTTAATAGACTCTTTCTTTCAAATGCCTGCCCAGCCTTTTCTTTAGGGTATGGGGATGTTTAACCTGGATTGTGGCGCTGGCAGAAAGAGTCCCACAATGATGAAAACAAGAATAGTTCAAAGGTTGGAGGCTTGCAAAGGGCCAAGTACTTTGATCTGCTGTCAGCGTTGTTATGTTTCTCTTTAGAAGGCAGGTCTTGAGGCCTATCTTAAACATTGTTCTAAATGGCCATACATAGAACCGGAAAATGAATTGATGAATGCAAACCTTGTCTAGAAACGTTTTACACAAGCTTAAAGGAAGTGTGGAGGTCAACAAGGGAGCCCCCAACCCCAAGGAAGTCGCTGTGAATTTTGCCTAAGTCAACATTAGTTAATAGGGTTTTATCTTAGCAAATTTATCCTTAGCAGTCATTAGATTAATTGGGGATGCCTAGACTGAGATGTGGATGTTTGTCTTTCTGTTGCACACTGAGGACTTTCTATGTCCCTGTTGCTCTTTTGCCGAGTTTTCATCTGGATGAATTACAAACTCTTTTTCATCTGCAACTAATGGAAGTTTCACTCAAAGTTTATTGTAGGAATTACCTATTTGCCCGACTAGTGATTCTTTAAAGCAAAGATATGTAAGGTAGAGAGCCCCCCCCCCTCCCCGGAGAAAGATCAACGCAATATCTCTCAAGTTTAATATTGGAAGAAAATGGCTTACACGAAATGGATGTAGGAGGAAGAGAAAAAGAGATGGAAGATTAGGGCGAGTGTGCCTTTGTGTCAGATACAGAGAAGATTTTTCTAACAGTAAAAAATGATGAAAAGAATTTAGTCTCTTTCCGTTGTGTCCCTGGCCCAAATGGATTGTTTTGCAGTGTTTTGTTTAGTTATATGTTTTTACCAAAGATAATATTTTCTGCTCATAGGAGGACTGGGTTGCAAAAAGCAAGGAGAGACGGGGGGGGAGTTGTGAGTTGTTTCACTTAAAACGAATGAAGACTTGCAAATCAGAACAGGAATATAATAGAGTAAAAGTGATGCTGAGGCCACTGCTAAGGAGAAGCTCTTGCACATGAAGAAAGCCAAATGATTAATAGGAATAAATATCAGGCATGGGTGTTTTTCATTGTGTTCATCTGGTTGCCTAGGCATAATCAAGATCATTACTTTTAATTATTACTATTGCTATTATTGATCCCCCCCCCCCTTAAAAGTCATTCTCTTTTGAAACCTTGCTTGCCCTAGTTGCTCCATTCTCAAGGCTTTTAAAAATTTGAAGTCTCAAGGTATGCGACCAGTTGGAACTTGTTGAATCTTGCAGCCGGTGATTTATGTTCAGAGTTTTGATTTGGCTCAATGAAAAGATTTTCATTCATAGCCCCCGGCTCTCCAGACAGATGGAATTGCTGCTCCATTGAAAAAGGAAAAGAGGGTGACTTGCCTTGTTAGGAATTTTTTTTTAAAGCGCCACAGTGCCTAGATGCCTGCTTTGTCTTCCCTTCAGGGTGGCTGGCATTCTTCTCCCTCCGCCACCCCTCCTTTTTTTTTTTTTTAACCACACTGAAGTTGTTTATTCTTTTTGGATGAAGTCTCAGATAGGCTGCTGGGGATGTGTGCTTCAATTGAGGGGGCCTCTTCCCCATTGTAGCTATGTCAGGTCTAATTCATCTCACCGAAGCCCCCTTGTTCTGGAGCGTTCAATAGTGCAAGATGAGGCGATGAAGGCTGACAATGATGCCACGCTCTTCACTTGCGGGCATCCAATTACAGCCAAGAGGGGCCCCCTGATTAATATGCTGAAATTAGTGGTCTCTGCCACAAATAATTCCTTGTTGGGTCGCAACAAAAAAAGTCTGTCCATGCGGCTTGTTATGGGAACATGGGGTGGTTATGGGGACAGACACAAACTGGTCATTTAAACTTCATTAACACTTTTCCCATCTCGGAAAGAAAGAGTGGGACCAGGAATTCATGTTCTCGGTTATTGCCATCTTGAAAGGGAGGTGGTTTTTTTTTTTAATGGATTCCCAAATGTCCCTGTGGGATCATCTTAATATGATCTATGATAGATTTGACTTTTTTTTTATTCAAAAGGAAAAAAAATACTATTAACAATCCTTCATAAATGGGGAAATGATGTTTGATGACTAAAATGCCTTTGGTAATTCCTTCAATAAGCAGCCATTGTTCAAATGCTTGTAATAAATAAAATTGGAACTTAAACTCTTGAAAAGTCTACATAATGCACACTAGCAGCAGTTCAGATCTCTCCAAAATAAGAACCTCGAACATTAAACAGTGTTTAACAAATATTATATATTGGCTATGTATATTGCCTGTATGTGAGTTCTGGGACTTGTAAAACATCAGAGTGGAAAAATTGCCTGAAGGAATCTTTGCATACCTTATAGCTGCTGTGTTGGAAGCCACAACTGGTTCAGAAGGCCACATTTAACGTTCTTAGACGTGATGCCATGTCACTATCACTACCTTGTGAGCTGCATTGGCCTCCAACAGGCTTCCAGATTCGATTCAAGATGTTGGTTACTACAAAAATCACCCATCAAGGCATAGAGCCATGTTATTTTTGGAGCCACCCATCTGATTATGTCTGCGTGTCCTATGCAGATCTATCAGGATGAATAGGTGTCCTTTTGATCCCCCTATGAAACAGTGTCATCTGATGGGACCTACTGGATGGGCCACCTCTGGTGGTGGACCTATCCTGTGGGACAGCATCAACTTCTCCTCCCCATACACAATTTGAATGGTCCCACCCCTGGGGAATAAATGGCTCTTTTCCTAGGACCAGGATCTTAAATGAACCTTGTTTTGCAAAGGTTCAGAAAATATTGTTGGCCTCCAATGTATTTTGTCTATTTTGTTTTGGTCATTTTTTGTTTGCTTGAATTTGAACTGATATTAATTACCCAGAGTAAGAGTTGTAAATTGGGCAGGCAAACAAATTGATTAAATAAATAAATTTAGTATGTAATTTGACACCTTCAGGATGTGCAATTACATGTTACGCTTGTAAATATTACTGCATTATGAATTCCCTTCGCTCTTCAGGTAAAGGACCAATATTAATTACAGATTGTCCCTGTCAAAATGTTAACTTGGAATTGTTGCTTTTGTTGAGTGGCATAAAATTAATTCCTACCATTAATGGAATAGATCTGAAAGCCAGGCTGGGTGACTTTGGTCCTCCCTCCCTCCCACTCTCTCCCTCCCTCTCTCTCTCTCACACAAACATATATGTGAATGAATGAAATGGAAAATCTTCAGTTTACCTAATTAATAGGTAAATTGGAGGGGGAATGTTGGAAGAAGTCTCATTGTAGATTTGCCATTTTGGATCCGTCTATTGAAAAGAAAAATAATTATTGTGATGCAATGTGATAAAATGCTTCATGACTCTTTTAAGTGACTTGCTATTTCAAAAGTCATAAAAAAGGTATATATCAAAACTTCCAAACACAGCTCTTCATATCATTTGGAGGATTCTCAGCAGCATAGAATTGCATTGAAATAATTAAGGAACTGTCCAGATGCAGGCTGCTAAGAATATTTCTTAAGCTGATGCTGATAGGATAGCATATATTAATTAGATATTAAAGTTTGTTCCACTTCTTAGCCCTGGTCAGATGTGTGAATCGAATCCTCCTCCTTGGAAGGAATTTTAGCCTAAAAGTGCAAATGATTACTTTTGTTGTTGTAAGAAGGAATAACATTTTTGATGGCAGTTACAGGCCAATCAATCAGAGGAGTGGTTTTATACCAAGACCTACAGCAATGCAGCTTGGAAATTGGCCCAGGTTCTTGTCAGCAGGGTGTCACATCAGAATGTAACTGATTATCTGCCAATTTGTGGGACCCCCTTCACTTAGCTACACCATTCCTATTGCCAATGCTAGCAGGCAGTGGCTGATAAGAGAAAAGCATGAAACAAAGCCTTTGCAAAAGGGAATGTTTAAACATATATTTACTTACAGATTGGAGGGTATTGTAATTTGATGGGGTGCGTCTGCCTTTTTCTAAGAGGTGACTAAGATTATGTGATGAGGATACCTCATCACGTACAACAGGATATGTTGGACTGCAAGAATAAATTTTATCAAGTTCTTTTATTCTGAGTAAATATATAATTGGTCTGGAAGATGATATGTTGCATAGGACTCAGAAAGAATAGTATGCTTAATTAGAAAATGGGAGAACATTTAGAAATAGTGTGGGACAACATTACGATCTGCACACTCCTGGTTTCACCAGCAAAAACCTATCATCAAAAGATAAATGATACTCAACTGTCAGAGGAGGGTTTTCAATAAAAAAAGTTTTATTCAAGTTTCAACCCACCATTCAAGTTTGGTGCAATAAGGCCTAACCACAATCCCCATTCTATCTTGTTGGAGACTCTCAAATACAGGCTGCAGAATTCCACACAACCACTGGGTGGCAGCAACAGTTTATTTACTGCTATATAGTGTACTATTTTTAAAAAAAATCTGTTAGTCCTAACATAGGTACCAAGTGCTTTGTCATTGGTAGACACAATTAATGTAAGTTTCCCTTAACTGTTGGTTGATTTACTTGGGAATGTTTATAGGAGACCAGAAATAATCCAGGAAAGTGTTCTAGGAATGACAATATGCATAAATGCCTGTGAATATTGGAATTTGTTCTTCTGTGTTTTATCACAGGCTACACCTTTAAAATGCCTACCGTTTCAGTATTACCTTATACACAATGGTTTATATGGTAATGTCTTTCTTTTTGTTTTTCCAACAGATGTTAAATTTATTTCAAACCCACCTTCCATGATTGCAGCCGGTAGTGTGGTAGCAGCTGTGCAAGGTCTTCACCTTGGAAACACTAATTCTTTTCTCTCTTATCAATGCCTCACACCTTTCCTATCAAAAGTTATCAAATGTGATCCGGTAAGTGATTCTTAATCCTCAAGTGAATCTATTTTGCTGTCACTGAATTCTGATTTGTATTTAAATTGATAACTGTACCTCCACGTGGTGTTGGTTCTATTTGTGAATTCCAGTTCTTAAAAGGCTGAAAGGCTGCTTTATTTCTTTTATCATTCACTCATTTATTTATTCATTCATTCAGTTTGTATGGCTGCTCATCTTAGCAGTTGACTCCAGGAGACAAACAGTTTTAAAATGATTTTTTTTTAAATTCCATTGTAAATACAGAAATGAAAAAAAAAGCAGTCAAGGAGAATGATTCACAGCAAGTCGCCTTATCTTCTGTGTTTTCCAAATACATTAATAACCAGATGTATTACCGTATGGTGTGGGCTAAAAAACACCACTAGTCTAAACTTAAGCGAGAAAAACACCACTAGTCTAAACTAAACCAAGAAAGAGGAAAAGGAACTCTTAACTCAAGGCTACATTGGTTTGGTTTAAAGGTAATTGCACTGCAGAAGAAAGTAGCACTTAAAATAGGAGGAACGTAGTTATTGCAATGAGCAAATTTAATAGTATTTTTAATTCTATGTAATTACGGTGAAGATTGTCTACTGCTAAATGGTTAAAAGGGAGAAGACCGCCATCCTAAGAGCATTCTAATTATCTAATTGGTTTACTACTTAAAACTACAGAAAATAATGCTGAATTAGTTCTTCCTCATCCTTCCTCCATAAAAATGCCCAAAACTATATGTCCCATAATTTTGTGAAAACCTGGATGGTTCTTTTCCTGCTTCCCCCACCCCAAAGCTTCCTGGAGATGCTCATCAGTAACTGGTGAGCAATAAACCTTTCATGAATGAATGGGCAGGAAAGGCGCCTACAAGGGGAGACCTAAAGTCAATGATCCATGCTATAATGGTGTGTGAACTTATGACAGAGTTTAGCTTTGTTTTGGAATAATGTGAAAACCCAGTAAATAGATGCTTGAAATAAGTTCTTGTGAGGTCTCCAAATGCCAACAACGTGTCAAATAAAACCAGCCTTATGGTTTTGCATTCAAATCTTGAGCACAAAGCTAAAATCATCCTAAATCCTTAAAATATTGCTACTATACAGCTAGTTTGGATAGTGGTTGCCCCAAAGTATCAATAAGAGCATTTTAAATAAAAATGCAATATATATTATTGAAGACCAAAATTTGAAGATCCTTCTCATAGGACAGCTAGTAATGGTGTTGTGTGGAGAGGAGGCCAACTAAGAAACCTTTACCTCTCTCTTTTCAAGGATCTTCCTACTCTGAGCAGGTTCTGAGGTGCCCATTGTATTTCCCCCAACCTCCTCTCGGGGTCTTTCCCTGAGAATTGTGGCTAGAGAACAATCACAGATCCTTCTAAACATATTAAGGGCTCACAAGGAATAATATATTGAGGCATTTTAATGGCCAGTTTTGTTTATTACAGTATTTCTCAAACAATTCTCTTTCACGCACACATACCCTTAATTTTTTGACATGGATTGGGGGCAAACTTTTATCAGGATTATGAGCATTTTAGTGTAAAAAAACAGGAACTGCAACTCTCCTGAATTCATTGTGCAGCAACAGAGTGGTAAATAGAGTTTGCCTGGGGCAAGCAGCGTGGACAATTCAAAATGCCATTTTTGGGACAAGCTTCTGCTACCATGTAGGCCTTCAACATGCTTTCCAATTGGGACCAAATAGGTTTCATAAAGATGTGTTTAGTTTAATAGAAATTTCATTCCACTGAGAGCTAGGCAATATATTTTGGGGTCATATGTTTATGATCCTTCAGAGCGACCAAGCTTTAATAGTCGCCTTGTTTTGATATATTCATAATTTGAAGGCTGTCCTTCATAGTCTCCATTACAAGAATGAAAAATAATCAAGCATGGGAAAAATATGTTTTAGTGCTACTATAGTACACGTATAGATAATAGTGCTAAGAATCAGGTTAAATGCTAACATACAAGGCACATTATGCAGAATTGCACTTAGGGGCACTCTAATTGATTTTTTTTAATATTTAAAAAGTATTAAATGTATTTATGCCACGGTATAGGTTCTGTCTTGGTGGTCAATTGTACATGTTCAGGATTAGTAAGCCTGTTATTGATAATGCTTCTCTCTCCTGCCCTCTCCCCTTTTGCAAGTGGCACTCTTATGCATTGCACAGTTTCCACACTGGATTATGGCAGCCCTGCTAAGAACGTTCTGTCTAAAAGCCTACATGGCTTCAAAATGTTAGGATGCAATTTTGCCAAAATTGATGAATTCAGTTCCTTTTATCAAAGTCTTTGCAGGACTAGTGAATTAAGTAGTTATTTTTGATGATGTGCAGAGATAGTGCTTAGTGCAGTGTTTCTCAACCTTGGCAACTTGAAGATGTCTGGACTTCAAGTCCCAGAATTCCCCAGCCAGCGAATGCTGGCTGAGGAATTCTGGGACTTGAAGTCCAGACATCTTCAAGTTGCCAAGGTTGAGAAACACTGGCTTAGTGTATAGAGATATTCATCTGCAACTCCATCAGCTATTTTCAAATTTCATATATTTTAACGGAATTGTGGGGGGTTTTTTGTTTTTTTTTAAGAAAGACATATCTTAAAAAATATTCATTTTCAACTGTGAATTTGCTGTGGAAATCTTAGGTTGCCTGAAATGTTGAGATAAGAGAGAAGAATTGTTCTAGCAACTCATAAGCAGTTTAGTTTAGTTATTTCCTTTCCTGGAAAATTAGCAGAAATGGCTTTAATATATTGGTAATAGCACGGTAGGCAACATGGTACCTGTGGGGGACCAATGTTACTCCTGGAGTCTGAAATAATGCCTGCTAAAATCCTTTGCCAAGGTGACTTTTTAAAAATGTTTTTCTAGTAAAATATAATGAGAAGCTAGCTTATTGTGAAGTGCTGTGGAGTTACTGATGATGATGTTACAAAGTGTCAGTGGGATGGTAGAGAGCATCTTGCAGGGGTCTTATTCACTTTCTGAACGGTTACTGTTTTGGGCTTGGCCGTGCCTACCATGTGGCAGCCATTTTGTGAACAGCCATGTCTTCAGTAGAAGCCATTTTGCCCTGATGCATGTTCTCCAAATTCCATCTGTGCTTTCAGCCTCTTATCTTGAATTCAAAAGAAAATCATATTTAAGCATGCTTGATTCCTAAGTTTAGGTTAGACCCTGTCGCATGACATGTTTCTGACCAGGTGTAACATTGCCTTTCCATATGGCGTGATGAAGGGCAAAGCTACCTTGTCAAAGAGGAGCTTTATCGCTGAGAACAAAGGGCCTCAGTCTCTGGATTTCATTCGTCCTGAGGAAGGTGTTTTCCACTTCACCTGGAAAGGTGTACTACTCACAGAAGAGCTGTTTTGATTTTAGGCTAGGATGCCATATGATTCTTATAAAAAGAGAAAAACTAAATCCAGTTCTGTTTTACTTAACTAAACTCTTGCGCAGGCACATGAGAACTGCCTTCAAACAGCCTGGTGTACCCAGATGTGTTAGATTTCCAGTCCCACAATCCCTTCAGTTATCACAATGCCTTGCAAATCTGCTAATCTAGACCCCAAGCATTTATAAAAAGCAACAGTAGTTTTCTCAACGTTCAGACATTTTTGGATCCAGCTCATGATAATTTAGAAGTTATGTGGCAGGACTTTAAAGGATCTGTGATCCACATCACTTCTTGTATTCACTGTAATTCTCTATTTTTTTTTTCCTTTTTACAAAAAACAATGACAGGATGGTCTCATTTGTTTCTTGATGATTTTGTTGTGATTCCTATAGGATGAATTAGGAATGGTAGAATATGAGTAAATATAGTCTCTAAAACATATATGTATGTGTGTGGGGGAGGGGTATTCATTTCTGGCATAACCTTCAGGCAATCTTTATTTTGGTCTTTAACCAGTATAATACAATTATCATATAGCTTTGCCATAAAAATGTGAGTAAGAACTTCAGAATGTATAATATGCTGCATTCCTCAAGTAATTCCATTTGAACAATTTGAAATGTATTTCCAGCTATTATCTAGGATAAATGGCTAAGGATTTGAGGGTTTTGTAATTAAACATTTCCTTTTAATTACAAAAAATGCACTATGTAATAACATCTGATTGGAATTCCTTTATGGTTCATATTTATATTGTTAGGACTCCAATTCCTCCATTTTGCTTTTATCTGAGGTAATTAGAAGTCTGATAACCATAGTAAGATCTCTTGAACTGTCTCCCATCAATTTGGCTTCTCACCTCATCATTCGACCATTTTCACACCTTCAAATAAATGTCAGGTAAAAGTCAGTTTGATCAGGTTTCTGTGTTGTTTATTAATAAATTGGAGTTTGTCAACCCTCCTCAAACCATAGAACAATTTGTTTGTATTCCAAATAGACAATAAATGTTAAAGCTGCATGTTCATCTTTTAAAAAGATGAAATTAGTAGCAAACTAATTTGATGCCAACTCAGGACTGGCTTAAAAAAGCTTTAAACCAACAAATGTTTTAAGTTACTGTATGATATTGCTGCTTGAAATCTCTCCTTTCATGCCAAGTATGGAGGAAGAAGCATGAAAGTACAGCCACTCTTTCTCTGCCCCATCCTCGTTCTTTATGAGATATCATGGTCATGAAGGAGAGTGGAGAGTGAAGTTGAAGTCTATTTTATAGTTATTTTACTGGATTTCTTGAGACTTTGGGCAGCTTAAGACAAATTAAAAACAAAACTAATTGATAACACAGACATATAATAAAATAATGTAAAAATAATCAGTACACAGAACTGATAACGCAGTACAGCAATAGAAGAGCCCTCTAATAAATTACGTTCCCAAAGCCTAGTGAATTATTGTTGCACTACAGCATTTATACAATTTAACAGGTAAAATATTTAATAGTTAGAAATTCATTAAAATATGATCTTTCAAAAAACTGTTTTCAGTTAGAATAGTATACTCTCATATATTGCTTTTTTCATTAGCAGAAGCAGAAATTAACAATTTTGCACTTATATACTGCTCCGTAGTGCTTTACAGCCTCCTCTAAGTGGTTTACAGAGTCAGCATTTTTCCCAACAATCTGGGTCCTCATTTTACTGACCTCAGAAGGATGGAAGGCTAAATCAACTTTCAGTTGGTGAGAATTGAACTGCTGAATTGCTGGTAACTGGCAGTCAGCAGAATTAGCCTGCAATACTGCATTCTAGCCACTGTGTCACCATGGTGTTTGTGGTGGCGCAGTGGTTATTATATTGGTTATTCTATTATTGCCTTAATATAGCTCTGGTTCAACCTAATATACCATAATATATAAAGAGGATTCCATAAACATGGCTTTTGAAGTTGCCACTGCCACCCAATAATTTGTATTCTGTCACCTGCTTTTATTTTCCCAGATACCAAATATCTTTTCCAGATGTGTGCATTACACAAAACATTTAGAGTACTATATGCCAGATATGGCCCTCTACCACCCTTGTCCTCCATGTTTTCTGATATGTAGAAAAAATCAGAGGGCATCTTATGTTTTACTTTATGATGGCTTGGGAGAAAATAAGTTGCAGTGTTAACTTGCTACTTCCAAGATTCCTTATTGGGCTAAATCCAGATTTAAGCCATAAGTAAAAGGAACAGAGTTTAAATCAATGATCTTTCTCTCATCCCCATCTTAAACTCCAAATAAAGATTGGAATTTATCTACATCACAGGTAGTCCTTGTTTTAAAATGGTGATTGGGACCAGAATTTCTGTAGCTAAACAAAATGGTTATAAACTGTGGTCACTGAATCGCTTAGCAACAGCTGTCCCCAGTTACTGTTTTAAGTGAGACCCACACTTAGTTATACCTCACGTAGTTGCAATTTTCAACTTCTTCCCAGCTTCCCATAGACTGCTTGTGGGAAGTTGGCATGGAACCTCACAAATGGCAATCATATCACTGTAGGAAGCTGTGACATCATAATCATGAGATGGATGCTGAGCACCTAGGTTGTAATCATGGCATTGCAACAGCCAGAAAATTCCTTGTTCATCTCCCCCACTCCTTTGCAGGTTCAGATGGTCCTGACAGGGGTTATTAAATGAGGGCCACCTCTATAGACTGCTATTTTTTTTCTTTCCTAGCTAAAGGACAGGTAGGAGTGCTTCCTGAAGTGCAATGGGATAGAAATGAATTTCAGTTTGACTACTAAGAGCAGAACCAAAAAGAGACAGTTTACTTCTTGATAATGTATTGAACTGTTAAACACAATAGGCCTTGGACACCCTAGTATTTTACTTATAGTTGGCAGCTGGTCTTTAGGTTTGGGAAGTTTTTCTTCATTGTCAATCATATGGATATATATTCATCTTAGACAGTCTACTGAATTCCAGCAGAGAACTTAGGAAGATAACATTTCACACTTGATTAGTCAGGAATAGAACCATGAGAAAAATATGTATCCTGTTTTCCCCCCAATGGAATTGCTGAATATGGCGTATAGTTACGGTTGAGACAACTTCGGAACTTTCCCAGACTTTGTGAAAGCGAAAAAAAGTGTGGGAAGGGAGAAGAAAAATATGGTGGAAGTCTTCCCTTTACACTTTCTTTGGAGATGAAATCTATGGGTATTTAAAGGAGGATATGTATGATCAAAAGTGTTATTTCATATAATGGACATCCCATCTTCATGTCTTTATTGGGAAAAGCCAAGAGCAGAGAAATAATGTATTACATAATGACTTAAAGATATGGGATGTTTCTTTTTCCTGGTTAAAATAGTCTCCGTCAAGAGGAAATATTACACTAGAGTTTAAATCAGTAAAGGTCAAGGGTTATTTGTTTTCAGTGAGCTGTAACTGATGGTCTGATCTGCTTAGAGGTAGGATTAACCTCCCTCTCTCTCAGAAGAGCCTTGCAGGGAATTGTAAGCTTGGATTTTTAATCTTATTTTATCCCAATGCTATGTGGTAGAGAAAGTTCTTGTGGCAGTAGAATCAGTGAAAAGCTGGTAGATCACCCAAGAAGCCTCGGAAGGCAGAACTGAAACAGAAAAGAAAGAAAACAGCAGGCAGGTCACCATCTCAGGAAAGCAACATTCATTTTCAGTCATGCACATCCTAACACTTTTGACGGCAATTTATCATGGAAGACTGGGTTCGCCACAAGGGCTAGTGCATGTCATAGGTTAAATCAGAAAAGGCAATCCCAAAAGAAAACTTCAAAGTTCTTAATGCACAGTGTTAAACATGTTGAGACAATGTTTGTTAGAGACAGGAGTAAACACGGAGCTAGGGAAGTTGAGCAAACTATTGTGAGATTGTTTATTTTGTGCATTTTAAGGTAACTATTATCAGTGGTTGTAACTGAGAAAGGTGTTACACCAGCACATGAGTATACCTGTTGGTGGCTATGTTTAATTTCTAATTGATAATGCATATTTCTTATCAGAGAAATTTCAGAACTGCTATAGAAACAAGGAATCAACTTATGCCATCATTTATAGAATAGAATTCTTTATTGACCAAGTGTGATTGGACACACAAGGAATTTTCTTTGGTGCATATGCTCTTAGTGTACATAAAAGAAAAGATACATTCATTACTAATTATAAGGTACAGCACTTAATGATAGTCATAGGTATACCGTGAAATACATAGATGGTTCTTTGAGGAAGACACTTGGTGGTCTTGTTTGTTTTGTCCTTTCAAGATTTTCAGGAACCTTAATAAACCTTAGAGAAACCCGCCTGATTACCTCCAATTTCATTTTTCTGTAATGGGTATCCCTGGTCATCTTGTTATATAAATCCATTTGAAATCTTGAGGGTAGGTTGTAGGCAACCTCACCAAATGGCTGCCGGAGTGGGTTTACTGCCCAAGGTGACAGAATAACTTGCTACTGCTTCTCTATTATTTATTTTTATGTTTCATCTGTTTTCTAGACATTCAGGCATTTGAAGCCTAGAGGCTGTTTTTAATGATTTTTTAAAAATGTTGAGTATCAGATCTCAGTGGAGATTTTCTATAGGCCCATTGGTGTTACTGAATCTCGGTTTGGTTCCCCAGGTCTTTAGCATCCATGATCTTCAATAGTCATAATTCTTCCCCATTGGGGGGGATATCAGACATTGTACTCTATCTAAAATATATTAGATCAAGAGATAGCTTTGAAGTCATAATGCAAGTAGTCGTTATTCAGCAACTATAGTCACATGGCAACTTGATTGTTAAGCAAAATGTTTGCTAAGTGAAACTACGGCTGCTTATAATCTTACTTCAATTTTCCTTTGCTTTACACACATGTGAATGTTGTAGATGTGAAGATTGGTTGCAAAATTACTTTATATCACTGATATAATTGTGGTCACTAAAAAGCAGTCACTAAATGAGGACTGCCTATAGTACATGTATAAAATGCAATAGGGCACCAGACAGTATCTTCAGAATTGAAAAACTTATTTTTAGAATAAAATTACAACTTGGCACTCTGTTATTAATGCCTATATTTGCGTAATAGCTTGATCTGATAGTTTTGAACTTTCAGGTTCTTGGACTCTTTATCGTTTTCCTACAGTTGAAAATTAATTGTGGAGCAACAATCATTAAAAAAGTAAATGTGCCATTTAATTTCTAACATACAGAAACATACCTAGCCGCTGTTGTCCAAATGAACTTTATTTTTGGTTGGAAACTGGAACTAAATGCCAGAAAATGCCAAAAGAAGGTCGCAAATCACAGTCACATGAATGCAGGATGCTGCAAATGGCTGCAAAGATAAGCTGGTTGCCAAGTACCAAAATCCATTCATGTGAACAAAAGGTGGTGTAGCTGTCATAACTTCAAAAACAAGTTGTAGGCAGCTTTGTGGAAGTTGATTGTAACTGATTGAACAGTCACCAAGTGATTGGTTGTAAGTCAAGGACTACCTCTACCTGCTGGTATCTTCACAATAGCTATTGTCCTGTTAATTTTGATTCCAATTTTTTATTCACTCACACTTGGAATAATTTTCTTATTGCTTATAGTTTTGCTCTATTAAACAAGCAGCAGAATCAATTTGGATCTGCAGGAGGCTAGAGTATGATTAGGAATAAATTTCTGAAAGCTTCTGACTCTTATCAATTGCAGGAAAAATCCTTTTTCTTCTTTTGAAATTATGTTATTGATATGTTTGATTTAAAATACTTTTTATATTTTTATGTGAGATAGAATGGCTTAGATCCATAAAGGTAATTATCTCGGTATTTTACATTGGTTCCTCCTGTGCCCATCCCAACCTCCACCTTTTTTGTTTTTTAAGAACAATCTTCTAGAAGCATGACACCAGTCCATGCTGCTCTCTATTATTTTTTATTTATACTAGAAAAAAAACACTACTGATATAGCTCTTTTTCAAAGATAGGAAGTAACCATTTTGCAATGAAGGCAAGCATTGTTCCTTTCTTTAGAATGGTGGCAAGCAACTGCTAGAGTTGCTTGCAAGGTCTGCTGATTAAATAGATTTCTTAACTTCTTAATTTCTTTGGTCTTGAATCCATGTCTCCAAATCATATATATGGCCAAACTCTTCCTATGATCAAATATCATGGATGGATGGACTGACTGACATACAGGATACTTTGCATGTATTTTTACATGCCATCTTCAACCAATAGGTCCAAAATTTTTGAAGAAAGGTAGTATCAAAAACTATTGAAAACTGTCTCCAGTGAAATTCACCTTTTTTGTTAGGAGAATGGGGGTCATTTGATCATGCCAGAATGAGATTTGCCAATGGAATGAATTCCACTTTCCTCATTAACAGAAGAGATCAAAGAAAAATCTCGTGTAGATATTTAATCCTTTGTTTGGAAGAATATGATAATTACCCGTATTTCTAAAGAAAATTTTATTGTCTTCCCCTGCCCCTTTCTTTTAAACATCTACAGGATTGTTTACGAGCCTGCCAAGAACAGATTGAATCTCTCCTTGAATCTAGTCTTCGCCAGGCACAACAACACAACGTATCTTCAGAAACAAAGACTGTTGAAGAGGAAGCTGATCTTTCCTGCACACCCACTGATGTTAGAGATGTGAATATTTAAGGAGGACTTCAGTGATTGGATTTACTTGGCTGTTTTAGCAAATGACAAAAGGGCATCTGAGAAGGAATTGGTATCAAGATCTCCCCAGAAAACCTTTTCTCCAGAACTTTTTATACCAGAAGGGAAAATGTCATTCATTCTTTTTTCTTTGCTATTCCTTCCTTCCCTTTATCAGTTTAGCAGGCAACCCACCCTCCCTAATTCCCCAACTGTCTTAAAAAAAGAAAAATAAAGTAGTATCTGCATGATCTCTCTAGGAACTTGTGCTGCATACATATGTGTATGTATGCATGCATATATGTTACAGACTAGGCATTACAAGCAACACACGTCTCCAGGGGAGTATTAGATTTCTTTCTTGCATATTAAAAAGCCAACCATTTTTAAAGTAGAAGAGGGTGTTTTTAGATAGATTTTATGTGTTTTGGGTTTGTATGTGCGTTTTCCCTTTTAAAAAGCATAGCTTTAATGCAGTTCTAGGCTTTTCTCTATCTTGCTTGCTTATGCATTTAGTCACTTTATAAGTCATCTGCAAATGTTTATTTTATTCTCTTAGGTTTAGCCTCTTCACCTTATAAATGGTTAATGTAATCTTTACATTAGTATATGTTAGCATACATCATTATTATATGTTAATCTTCTCTGCCTGTGGATTGCCTGTGCATAAGCCTTCTAGAGTTCCACCTTAGCATGGCCAGAGAAAGGCATTAACATATGTTCCAACAATAAAGAGAAATTGCAATAGTGACATAATATATTTTTGTAACCTTCCTATTTTTTATAGTTACCTGTGTATACATAAAACATACTAGTTTTAACCCAAAAGATACACAGCCTACTTATGTCCAGGTTGAATCCACAGCTTATCTCTTTAAAAAAAAGTTGTAAAACCATTCCATTTCAAAGCACTTTCAGTTCATTAGGTATAGGAAATACTTCCATTTTTTGTGTGTGGGAATTTTTTCTTCAAATGGAATGGTTTGGAAATTATATATATAAATATATATATAAATATATATATATATATAAAGTGCTTGTGTGCAAACTTGGAATTGCAAAGCAAGTGCATTTAACTATGGTGTTGAGGAAAGGTGTGTTTTTTGGTCTTTTTTTTTTCACCTGAAAGTTGTATTCCAGTCAGAGAAATTGCATTCACAAAATTGCCAGGATATCTTCCTAACCTTTTTGATAGAAAAGATATTTAGATGATTTTTTTGTGCCAATTCATTTTGTTAATATAAATTTAGGGGCCTAAAAGGTTTACCTATAGAACGCATATTTTGAGAGTGGTCTCTAGATGTTGTACAACTGAAGGCTTTTAAACACTAAAATGTATAATTTATAGTTGAGGCTAAAAAGAATATTTATTGCAGAGGATGTTCAGAAAGGCCAGTATAATTTGTAAAATAAATCGCCCCCTTGATTCTAACAAAATAAAAAAAAAATTCTTTTTACCCTCAATATTACAGTTAAGTTCATATTCCTGAGGATTTAAGACATTTTGAGATAGTTACACATTTGGCCTAGATACTTTCAAAATAGCATTAACCACGAAAAAGGACCATAGTTAAAACTGTACAATTGGTGTACTTGAAAAAAAAAGATAAAAGATCTTAATCCAGTGTATTTCCCCTTCCTTTTTTTAAATTTAGCTACAAATAGAAAATTTGCACATCTTGGCTATGTATCTATTATTGTAGAAGGTAGCTGAAGGGACGTGGACATAGCTGTTGAAGTTGATGCTTGAGGAGAATGTGATGGCAAAATGTATGTGAGAAACTGCCGCTAAGGTGTTGATTGTAAAAAAAAGAAAAAAGGAAAAAAAAAGAAAAGTTTTTAAAAGGAGAAAAAAAGGAGCAGACGCTCCCACATATTCTGTTGAGCTGCTATGGATAAATTCCCAGCATGAATTTCTGAAAAAAAATTAACATTGCTTTTCTGTATCTTTGTCATTGCGTTTTGCTGCTATTTTGTGTGGTCATTTTTTGTTTATACAATGTCATTATACTGCCATGTTATAGGTTTTAAATTTTCTCATAGAAAATTATATTATTGACATCATTTTTTTGGTAGATTTTTTTTATGTGATCAATTTTACTTAATGTGATTACTGCTCTATTCCAAAAAAGGTTCCTGTTTCACAATACCTCATACTTCAGTTAACCGTGTTCAGATCAGGTTTTAATGTTTGTTCACAATGCCTCATAGTTTTACTGCAAACAGAAATGCGTTGGACATTATTCTGAATGGGTCTCGGCGATTTGCAACTAATCTGTGCTTATTTTAAAACAGAAAACATTTCAGAAGATTGAGTAATGTCAGGTTCTTTCGTTAATGCGTTTTTATAAAGTGGATTCTTTTTCTGATCTGGGGTTTATTATCATAGTAGTTTTAAGCTGTGTTATTAGCCACATTTGCTATATGAAAGGTGCATTATAATATAACTCGTATATGCCTTTTGATGTTTTCCACCAGAGAGAATTCATCATGCGGTATGATAGGTTATCTTCTGGAATTAAGTATTTTGTGTGTTTAATCTGTTATGATATATTAGGGTTTTTTTGTTGATGTTAATTATAGCATAATGCTAATTTAAAACAAAAACAGAAAGCAACACCTCTAAATCTCAAGTAAGCCAGCTAACCAAGTTGTACAGTGAAGAATAATCTAGTTGCCTGTATGCTGCTAAACCAAAACAGAATTAGAACTTCATTTTGAGGGCAATTGCAGTTAAGATCCTACCTAAAGACAACAGCCGTGTAATGCTACTAGCAGTTGCAGGACCCAGGAGGACTGGATAGATTCGGTCCACATTTCAGGAACATTTCTTACTGCTTACCTCATAGACACTTCTGTTTGTGGCATCTCTGTGTCTCTGAACCAACCAAGAAAATTGATGAGTTAATGGTTGTTAAGTTTTATGATGTGTTTCACTGAGAAGTGGCAGCGTGTACTGCAGATTTTTAAAGTATTGTACGTACTAAAAGGCCAAATGCTGACAAGCAGGTTCACGTGCCAACAGAGATGCTTTATTTGTCACATTGATATAACAATCTATAGAAAGCCAAGCAATTCAGAATTGTACTTTTTATATATATATATCTATATATGTATATTGTACTTATTGTCACCATTGGTCTGAAATGCACAGTCACCAACAGACCTGTAACGTAAGTTTCCAGCAAATGAGAAAGACCTCCCCTAAAAGACTAGAAATAAATTCATAAAACCCACTGCTGGTTTTCTGTTTTGTTGTTCAGTATTAATCGTCAATGATTTGCCGTGTTCCTTAGATTATTATTTATATTTAGTGTTCAGCATTCAATGTGCACAATCTGGTGTTCTTTTGGGATGACATTTGGGATATTGAATAAAAGTTAGAATTTACAGTTGACTTAAATACAGATCTATTGAGAATACTGGAGCACAATGCTTCCCAACCAGTACAAAGCTCCTACTAATTAACTTTAATTTCATATAGTAGCCAATGTTGTTACTGGATAATGTTACTATTCCCTATGTCACTTAGAATGCCTAACAGCAAAAAATATACTAAAATAGGATTCTATGTAATGGAACGGAACTTAAAATGCTATTTCTTCTCCTGTGCTCCAACAAAATTCCTTTCTGAACAGACCCATATTTCCTTTTTATTTGTGCTTTTGGATTCAATCTATACAGCTTCCCAATGGAGGAAGAGACAAACCACATGAGGTTCTGTATCTCCATAAATGTACTGTTGCCCCATGGTCAAAAAGGACAGATGATCTAACAGCAGAGCAGCCAGGAGAAAGGCTATTGAGAGATCCAAGTCTAGATCTACCTGTCCATACAGATTATAATTGGTCTACTTTCTGATCCAGTAATTAACATTTTATTACATAAGAGTTGCAGACAAATCTAACAGCCAACATAGTTTTGAAGCCATCCAATATGAATACAGCAGAATGTCCTTTTTCCATCTTAATGAAGAAGCCATAAAATTCCTTTAAAACTTATGATTCCAAAAGGACCAAAGCATGAAACAAATTCAAATGAATTAATTGTTGACTGTAAATTAGGATTTTTATGAATAGACAGCAGATTAGGATGCATATTAGTAAGATATGTTTATATGATGAGTCACTAGAAATCATGTTTAAAGAATAGTATATTTTGTTTTCTCTACAGGGGCCTTTTAACATTTAGGGTGCACTTTGTTCATAATTATGTAGTCCACATGTTTAGAGGTTGATAGGAGTTCTAAACCAATGGAAGACATTAGTTATAGAAGTTAACTTGATCTTTAAATCAGAGTTTCAAATAAAAGCAGGAACATTGAAATAAATGGTCATGCTAATTTATATTACTAAGCAACTTCAACAAAAACATAAGGTTCATTAGCTTTTGGATCTGCAAATCAAGCCATTTTGCTTTTAACCATATTATCACTCAACTGCAATCAAGTGAATAAACAAACTGGTTTAAAACAAATCTTCAGTCAGTCTGATGTATAAACAGCTTTAGAATATGAGCCAGCAGTGTACTGCAGCTACCAAAAAAGCTTACAGAGTTCTAGGCTACATAAACGGATAAAATCAAGATCATGTGAAGTGTTAATATCACTATAATGCCTTGGTAAGGCCACACTTGGAATACTGCATCCAGTTTTGGCTGCCAAGATGTAAAAAAGATGTTGAGGTTGTAGAAAGTGCAGAGAAGAACAACAAAGATGGTTAGGGGACTGGATGCTAAAACACAAAACTTGCTGGAATTGGGTATTCCTAGTTTAATGAAAATAAGGATTGAGGTGTCATAGTGTTGCAATATCTCTGGTTGCCACAAAGAAGATGGAGACAAGTTATTCTCCAAAGCACATGAGGGTAGATAAAAGCAATGGGTGGAAAGTAATCCAGAAGAAAAGCAACCTAGAACTAAGAAATTTCTTGACAAAATAGTGGAACAACCTGCCTCCAGAAGTGCTCCAACACTGGAATTTTTAAAGAAGAGATTGGATCACCATTTGTCTGAAATGGTATAGGTTTTCCTGCCTAAGACACATGAATGGCAGAGTACAATCTATCCCAGGCTTGGGTAGCTCAGCTTCAACTTCAAAATACCCATTTGGAAGTTAAATTGAAACACGGAGAATGATTGGAACAGCATCAA